CCCATCACCATCATTTTGGTCAAGTTTGCCTCTAAGCAAGTGCCTTAACCTTCTTAGGCCTGTGTTTCCTTATAGGGTTACTAAGAGTACTAGCCTCAAAGTGTTGCGGGGGGAATTAAATGAGATGGTAAAGTGATTGGTCTTCACGTTATTACTAGCTACTGTTCGCAGCGGTCAGACATATTTGAGAAACTTCTGTGGTATAGAAACCCTGAAACTTCTGCATGGTGGCCTCCCTTCTCTCTATTCCGTTCAGCAGTGATTGGTAATTTCAACTGATCAGTTACCCAGGCGAGAGTCCCAGGGGTCACTTTTAGCTCCTCCAGTTCCAATGCTCCCTCGACCCTCATATGCATTCAGTCATGAAGCCCTGTTGACTGTACCTCCCATCTGTCTCCTATGCGCCAGTACCACTGCCCTCCTAACTAGGTCCTCACACAGCCACACTGATTACTCAGGCGCTCTCTTAACTGGTCTCTTGCTTCCAATTTCACCTTCTTCCAAAACTGGTTTACTGCTACTCCAGAGAACTTTCCAAAATCCAAACCAGATTATCATGTTCTTGCTCACACCCTTTCTATGGCTCCCTATGACTCAGTAAACAGCCAAGCCCAAATCCTTTAGCATGACCCACAAGGACCGTTGTGGCGTGACCACTGCATAGCTCTACAACTGCATCACTTGTGTCTCTCAAGTCACCTCCATGTGCTAGCAATGCAGGCCTGCTCCCAAAATGGTTTTCAGTCTCCTGCCCCCTGCCCCCAACCATGGCCATGCCCATACTGCCCTTGAAGTCTAGGACCTTTGCTTTGTCCTTGTCTCTGGAAAAGTCACAGTCGTGCATCAGAAATAAACTCTAAACCACTATCTTTGGGAAGCCTTCTTTTACTCAGCTCTGGGTTAGCTGCTCCTCCTCTGCTCCCACAATACATGTCCTTACAAGATCATGGCGTAACTTTTTGTTTCCATGTCTGTTTCCTCCAGTGGTATGTAACACTCTTATCCATTGCACTTTATTATGCAGATGCAGGAAGGAACTGCATCTCATTAATCTTTGTACATTCATATGGATAAATAAATGAATGGCTGGATAGGTGGATGGATGGATGGATAGATGAATGGATGGATGGACAGATAGTGGTTGGATGAATAGATAAGTTAATGGCTGAATGGATAAATAAATGAATGAATTCAACTAAGTGGCATAAACCTCTAATTAGCTCTTACACGCAGGTACCTACAGGAAGGTCATCAGCGGTACTACAAAGACAGACTCTATTTCTTGAAGCTTCCCAGTTCAGGATGCAAAGCAGTGTAACCTTGCCACTGGCAGCCAGAGGGTTTCTGACATTGCTGTTCCCCATTGTTCCAGTAGGAAAGCTGAGAACGTATGTCGATCTTAGAGGAAGTAAGGACACCCAGGTGGGCTTTATCCCATCACCAACCTGGCCTGTAGCCTCTTTGTCAGCCTCCTCAGGTCTGTCCTCGTACGGGTCCCTTTCAGTCTTTTTCTCCATCCAGGCACCTCAGATTTATTTCCAGCTTGAACTACGGCAGGAGAACGCCACCTCTGGGCCGAGGGTGACAGAGTAGCAGATGGCATTGGTGACGCAGGTCACCGCGGCCAAAGGCACTGTCTGCAGCCCAGTGCTTACCCGTCCCTCTCGGGAGAATGGCACATTTCATTCTGTGCATTTCCCTGTTCGGGAGCTGCTCTTATAGTAGCCACATGAGAAGTGCACCTTCTACAGCTCAGCCTTCATCAGCCCTTCGAGGAAGACCTTCCTGGCTGGCTTGGTTCACAAAGCGAACGTGAATTAATTGTGGAATCAACTGGAAATGAAATGGAGTGTGGCGCTCCTTGTGATACAGAGAATGCGCCTGCGGCCCGCCCACGCTGGAGCAGAAAGACCCTGAGGCTTCGGGGAAAAGAGCCCAGCCTAGCCCAGCCCGCCCTGGAATCCTCTTTCAGGGTCTACGAAGCAGCAGGCAGAGCAGAAATGGCTAAATTTGGTTGTGTTTTTATTTTTGTCCAGCCACAAATACCGGCAAAGAACAGAAAACGATCCTTCCCTTCCTACAGCCAAGCTGGCTATATTTTTAGCTTCAACTATGGTTTGGGGCTTTTCGCATGCTAAACACCCTTCCCACTGCAGGCAGCGGTGGCCCGAATTTTAGGATTTTTGCCTAGACTGGCGTGTTGGTTGACTGAGTGTAACTCTCACTAGGCTTTGTGCAGTTGTGACAATAGAGGGTGGTTCTAGACAGACCCACAAAAAGACCCAATTCTGGCCTTAGGGACCTCCAAAAGGGTCCTTTTCAAGGAGGGAAATGCACTCAGAGTGGATGGTTGTCTGGGCGGCAACCCTGGATGAAAGGAAGCAGAAGACAAAGAAAGAAAGGAATGGGAAGGGAGCTGTGTTTATTGAAAGGCTTCGAGTAACACAGTGGTTCAGAGCCAGGGCTCTGGAGGCAGACCACCTGGTCCCAATCCTGCCCCCACACTTCCTAACACTGCGGGCTTGTGGAATGTGCTCAATGTCTCTAGGCCTCAGGTCCTTATCCGTCAGATGCAGATAACAATGACTCCCGCCTCCGAGCTCTGCTGCCTGAGATCCTGCCCATCCAGCATGTAGCATAGCACCTGACATGCAGTTAGGACTCAGCAAGCCCAGTTTTATTATCACCGTGCTGTTCCTACAATGCTAGACACTTATCCATACACTGCATACACTGTGTCATTAAGACTTAGGGCAGCCTGGTGAGTAGGGTTACTGTGCAGATGCAAAGTGGAGGCTTAATGGGCTGGATAATGTTCCCAAGCTCCCAAAGCAAAAGCATGACCTAGCCAGACCTGAACCCTGCCCTGGCCAACCCTAGCCTTGCCACCAAGCCTTCTCCAGGACCAGTCAGTGCTTACACATGATTTACAGGGACTTATCACTGACTACATGGGAGCTGTTCTAAATAAGGAGCTAGATTCCCCTCCTCCTGTTCTTCCCAGGGCTCTTCACTTTTTTTCCACTTTAGTGACAGGAACACGCAAACAGCGGATGCCAGGAGTGATCAAAAGAGCACTGGTCAAATTCACAGAGACAGAAAGTGAAATGGTGGCTTCCAGGGACTAGGAGGAGGAGAACGGGGCCTTGCTCAATGGGCACAGCCTTCCAGTTTTGCAAGACAATTAAGCTCTGGAGATCTGTGGCACAACAGTGTGAATATGCTTAACGCTACTGAACTGCGCACTTAAAACAGTTACGATGGTCAATTTTATGGTGTGTGTGTGAGTGTGTGTGCTTTATAACAATTTTAAAAAAGGGAAAAGGAAAAGAAGAAAGCTGGTGCGGGAGTCAGGCCGCCGTTGGCGTGGGCCCGGGAAGTGGAGCAGACCCCAGCCAGGTTCCCGGCAGGAGTCTGGGCGACAGCATCACTGGTCCACACCTGCCACACGCTGCCTGAACCCCTCAGGGCTGAGCAGCACACTTCTGACAGCAGCCTTATCCTTTGAGGTCTTAAATGCTCCTCTCTCACATGCTTTGCCCTTTTTGACTTCCTTCTAGTCCCCTGTCCTTCTGAAGTTTTTAACCATCTCCTAGGATGAAAGGGGGAAAATAGCAAACTGACTGCTTGGTGTGGGGGGGAGCGTGGGCTCTGGGGCCAGAAGCTGAGAGGAAGCTCACCTTTCCTTTCCCTTCAGTCGGCTCTGCGCTCCGATGGGGCGCTGCAGTTCTCCCGTGTAACCAAGCACACAGTGTGCCCTCTACGCGGAGAATGTCAGCCAGGCTAGAGACTGCTCTTGGGCTCCAGGCAATCTGGGGGAGTGAGAGGCGGAGGATTCTGGGGGCGGGAGACTTGGGGACCCTGGTTTGGGCATTCAGCTGCGTAGCGATGTCAGACAGAGAGGCATGGAAGCAAGCGTGGCGCACGCAGGGCACCCGCCTGGCCTTATGCTCCCAAGAGAGCAGCTTCATGGAGAGACTCGTGGAGGCCACAGCGATAGCTCGGTGTCCCTCAGAAACTCAGATGCCTTCTTCTCTGTGACAGCACGGACCATTCCCAGGAGAGAGTCAAGCTCTGTTGTCAGCGTCCAGCGTGGGGCATCCCCACTGGGCTGAGTTTTATTTCCAGCCACGCAGGACCCCTAGAACCCTGATCCCTGACCCACAGCCGGCTGCTCCATTAGGCACCGTGTGGGCAGTGCCCAGGGCCAGTGATACTTTGATGGGCCCATGAACATGCACATGGTTTAATTTCCTTTAAAAATAGAAGAAAAAAATGAACTGAAGTGCATGTTATAATATATAATATTAATATATTGGATTTTATACCAACACAGTTGTAGAATATATTATTATTATTATTATTATTATTATTATTATTGTTATTTTATGGAAGAAGTTGCTCACGAAGGCAGAAGTGCCAAGGACCCACGAAAGTCATCACGCAGCTCTGCTTGCTCTGGTCCAAAGAGCCAGGCTGGCAGAGATTCCACTGGGCCCCTCAGCCCTGGTGATCTGCCTGGCCCTCGTCTCTGTTCCTATAGCAACTGCCATCTGTCCCTCCCACCTCACCATTTAGGATCTGGAATTTTCTCTCTGGTATTTTATTTTTTCTGAGCCACCCATTTCACATGCCAGTTCTGTCGCTTGGCAATAGCTCTCTGGAGCACATGGTGAGAAAAATTCAGAAGGCTTGTCTGGGTCAGTGGGAAAGAATGTTGTGATCCATTAATGGTGTCTCCCCGGGGCTCATGATGGGGCAGGGCAGTGGGCAAGCTGTGCCCTTGCTTATGACTGATCTCGGCCGTATATTCCCAGCCTCCTTAGCTACAAGCTCCGCAAGATGGAATATGCTTTATCCATGCTGAGCACCCCACAATGAACCATCTAGAAAGCCTCTTAATACGTGTTGATTGATTGATCAATTGAAGTGGTGTCCGAGTGCACGTGACCCAATATAATGTCCCCTTGACACCCTCTCTTTCTTCTCTCCCTCTTTAGGCGTCTGAACAAGAATAAGCTCCAAGTGCTTCCAGAACTGCTCTTCCAGAGCACACCGAAGCTCACCAGACTGTGAGTAGAGTTGACTCGTGTTCTCTCGCTGGTGTCTTCCTGGCTTTGGTCATGTGGAGAACGTGGTTGCCTTTGTGTGTGGAGCTTCAGGCTGTGTGGACCTTGGCAGTTAGGCCTCGCTCATGGAGACCTAGAGCAGGGCATCCGTGTGCTGTGCCCCCACACTGCCCCCCAGGGGTCAGTGGCCTGAGCGGCCAGTGGGGGCTAGCAGCTCACAGTAGTGGCTCACTCCGCTGCAGTGGGGGAGGAAACACTTCCATTTAACGTGGGTCTGAACCTACCTCAGAGGAATGCCCGAGGTGGGTATTCGAGGCGAGTTTATTCACACCAGACCGCCAGCAGTCTCAGGGGGCATGGGTTTGGACTAAACATTTCAGCCTCGCCACCTTGCTGGCTACAACAAGTCCAGCCTGTCGCCTGCTTCCTGCCACTGGCGGCCTGGGAACCCTGGGGCTGGCGGCCTACCATTTTGTGGGAAAAGACACACCTTGAATTTTGCTCTGACTTCCAGAATGGTCCAGGATATAACGAGGAGGGAGGAGTTGGCGATGCCTCCGGGCATTTATTCAGCGTTTATTCCGTGTGTATTTGGAAGCTCCAAAGCTGGAGATGCGCGTTGGATGGGGACTGCGGCCCCGTGTCGTGGGTGTCGGGCAGGCGCTGATCATTGGCAGTGAACCTCTCCATGAGCCTGAGCCTGGAAGTCCCCACTGGCAGCGACTCGCGTACGCTGCGGGGTGAACTGGGCTGCCCAGGCTTGCCTTTCTGGATGGAGTGACACTGTGACACGCTGCTTAGCGGTCAGGCAGCGAGACTTGTCGCCTGGCTGGGAAGACGCGGTGCTGGGAAGGCGCCAAGTGGTGGCCACCATTCTCATCTCCAATGGCTGAGTTACCTCCTAGTTGTGCAGTCAAACAATGCGTGCAGTTCCCGGGATAAACTGAGAAATATGAAACACATGTCGGTGTGTGCATTTAAGAATGAGTTCTGAATATGGACTCCATATCACTCTATTCGTACACACACAGTGAGACTATATACATACATGTATTTTTAAGGGTACTTTGTTGGAGCAAGAATAGGCAAGGTTTGGCTGGTGTTTCTGTGGTACAACGACCTTGCTTGCCTTCTCGAGGACACACCAGCACTCTGTCAAGGTCTCCTCGTGCTGTGTGTTCCATTTCTTTTGCTCAGTCCGCCTGGCCGACTTTGCTAAATGTGCGGAAGTATATGCCTCCCTTTCCACTTTTCCACTCTGAACCCACCTTGATGGGTGTGAGGGTGAAGGAAGTGCAGTTAAGCGTCTAGCAGGGCTGAGTGAGCAGTAGTAAGAGGGCATGCTGGGAAATCCCTTTGATTTTGAACTTTCTCTCCTCTGTATAGTTCCTTCTTTAAATGCTCACCTAACCCCCGTCTCTTCACCCAGGACTACATTGTGCCTTCTCAGCCTGCTCCTAACTATGTAAATAATGTGGGCTATCTGCACTCTGCCTGGAATCTCAGCATCGCTTTCTAGGCAAACAGAAGGTGCCCAGGGTTTGGCCTGCTGGGAGGCTCTGAGCAGGGGTGGGTCTGAGTGTTCCAATTGCCGCAGGATGTATGGTGGGCAGGTTCCTGCTCACAGAAGCTGTGACCTCACAGCCGCCCCCCGCACCATCAGGTGATGCCCATTTTGTGCAGGGCTGGCTTGATCCAGGTAGAGGAGACATTCCAGGCAGAGAGAACAGGTCTCCCAGCTGCTGGGGGCCGACACAGGCCATCAGCAGAGGGGCATGGGGAAGCCCAGGATACTGTCCTAACGGCCACTTTCTTACTGAGCGAGGCTGAGAGAGTCCCTTTCCCTTCTGTGCCTAAATATGCTCATCGGGAAAGGGAGACACCCCCTCTTCCCTTCTCCCTACCTCACGAGGCGCTGTCAGTATCCAGTGAGATAATGGTATACATGTGTTTCCTAGGGTTGAAAGTGCTACGTGCGTGTAATCACCACGATGACTGTTGATACTCCTGTCGTCTGCATCTTCACAGCCTCAGTTTCCAATCCCCTTTCCCTGGGAGCAATGAAGAAACCAGGAGTTGCCATGAGCACTGACATAAATTACACTGAGCTTTTGCTTCAAGCCAGAGAGCTGCACCGGGAAGGCTGAGACAATGCTTGGCTCATTGTGGTATTGTTCCTGCTCGATCTAGGTCCCCAGCCAGGCACATAGCGTGGCACACATAGGCACTCATGAATGGGCGGGTGAATGGATGAGTGATGCAGGCCTGAGGGTGTAAACAGTGCTCTCAGGGGAGCTTTGGTTCTTTTACCCACCATTCATTCATTCACCCACTCATTCATTCATTCAGTAGGCTTTTCCCGGGCGCTTGTTCCAGCTTGGCCTCTGCGCTAGATATTGAGCTGCAGACGTGAAGAATGCCCTGTTCTCCGTATGCCCCATCATGAGACGTCCTGAATGGCTACCAAAAAGCTAAGAGCTAAATAGAATTTTTTTTTTAATTGAAGCAGCTATATTAACCCAGGTTTGGGCTATAATCAGCAATCCCTTTTTCTCCCTGGGCTTGATCTTTGATTTTTCTTAATGGCCCTATTGTGTCTTTGTCTTATTTTGTCAGCCACTCCAGGGCCTTTTTGGGAAGTGAACAGGGTACAAATTAGAAATCAATAAATGTGCAGTCATGAGTGTGTATACACATATGCCACCGGCTCTGTTTTAAAAGAGCACTGCGTCTCGGTAGACACAGCGGGCCATTTTCTAGGGAATGCTAAATGTGGAGACAGTGTGGCTGCCTACGCCTGAGCGTGCACGTGGGGTATGCAGCAGCTCCAGTCACACCCTTTCTTATTGGAGCTATAGACAGAAACTCCTTATTACTCAATGTTTACACAAGGGCCATGGACGTGTAATGAGACATGTTTCGAGTAGTGATGGGAAAGAGAAGTGATAGTTATTGAGAGCCTTTGCTATTGTAATACTGCTACTTACAGGTGACAGAAGTGTCACTAAAGTTAGTGTAACCCGAAGAGCACATATATCATATGTTCATATGCCTGACGACTCCAGTGATTGCTGTGGGTGGCTTTAGGGACAGCGGGATCCAAGGGCTCGGCGATGCCCGTCCTGTGGCTCAGTACACATGACCGTGGCCAAAAGCGGAAGACTCCGAGGTTCCTCATCCAGCAACTTGGGTGAGGGTGCCCTGGTCAACGGTCCTGCAGGAGAGAGCTGAAGGGAGGTAGCTTAACTTGGCCACACGTCCGTGTCTGAGCAAGCTGCTGCTTGCAGTGAGAGGCGTCCTCTGGGCGAGGAAATCTTGGCCAGGTATTCATCCCACTTGTTTGGGGATGAGCGCCTGGGTTTGGGTTTGTCAAAGGAAAGAATAATTCTGTTATCAGAAGACAGAACAGATGCAAACTTGAAAACAGCAGTTACCTACAAGTTTATTAGCATCCGTTCTCTGCGTCTCCCTGTGCTGTGAGTACTTTGGCGCCACACAGCAACACCTCAAGGTAGTAACAGTCACAAGCACATTGAGTGCCAGGCGCTGCTCTGAGCACTTTACCTGTAGCTCATCTGATACTCCTAATAACCCCAGAGGGTAGGTACTCTGCTTATTTCTATCCTGTAGATGTGAAATTGGTGCTCATTAAGGTTAAAGAACTTGCCCAGTATCATACAACTACTGAGTGACAGAACCAGAATTCAAATTTGCGTAATGTGACACCGGAGCCTATACTTTTCTCTACGGTAATCGGCTTCCTGCATCGATCCTCCCGTTTTATAGAAGAGAAAACTAGAGCTCAGAGTTTAAATCCCTTGCCCATATACCTCACATTTCTAAGCAGCAGCACTGCCCTGGACACTCTGCCTCAAGGCTCAGATTGAACCTTCACACCAGGCCTGCAAAGAGAATCAGTGTTAAATCCACTTCGAAAGCTCAGAAGAGTAACAAGGATACAGTGGACCAGGGGCTCACATGTGTGCCTGTGTCACCAAAGCCCTCCAGCTTACTACCATGCCACATTGCCATGCTAACTATTTGTGGGGAGCTAAAGTTAGGCTAAAAAGGACTGATAATGGACCTACCATATATCCAAGTCATTCTGCGGGCCTTGGGCTCCCACGCCCTCGGACCCAGCACCATCCAGTTCATGGATTCATGTGTATAGTCATGGTGGACCTGTCCTCTTACTTTGCTCTCAAGCACATGGGGCACGGGCCATAGCAGGCTGGGGTGCAGAAGTACCCTGAGCTTTAGGTAATGTCCCTGTGGTCTGTAACACACCCAGCAAGTTCTCTGTCCTGCCTTGGGTGCTCAGTGGACTTAGCTCCCTCCCATCCTGATGCAGATCATAAGGTTTCCAAGGTCGGGACTGTGCTCCCGCCCCTTCCAGGTTCCCTATGGGCTCCTGACCCAGAGCTGAGCGTAAGAGACGGCAATGAAGGGAAAGGGGTAAGGGGCTGCCAATCGTGTGCTGTGAGACTGGACACGTTACTTAACCTCTCCGAGTCTCAGGTTCTTCGTCAGTGAAACAGACACGGATAGAACCTACTTCTCTGTGCTGTTGTGAGGATATGTGGAAACAATCCACGGACAGTCTTTAGCACTGAATGTAGCACGTAGCGAGGGCTCAGTGTGAGATGACTACGGTTAACTTCCGCCAGCTGATTGGTGAACTGGTGTGTGTGCTGGGGCTTTGGCGTCTGTGGTGTGAACATTTCAGCACCTGGCAAAGAATTCAGGCTCCAAAATAGCTGAGGGTGGAGGGAAGCACTGTACCTGGAGTGGGAAGATCCCGGTCCCCATACTGGATCCGTCAAACACGAGCTGGGTGGCCTTAGGCAAGGTACTTCAGCTCTCTGGTGTCAGTTGGGTCATCTAGAGAGGGTGGGCTGGAGCATGGTCTGTTACATGGTCTATAGGTTAATTGTGTGTGTGCGTCCCCTTCCAACCATCTCTTTCACCTACACATGAAAGAGGGAGTGAGGGATTTCTGGTTA